GACAGACAAACAGACAGACAAACAGACAGACAAACAGACAGACAAACAGACAGACAAACAGACAAACAAACAAACAAACGGCGGAGAGGTCGTAAGTATTATCTAGTATCTAATTTTTTCTGCTTCGCCCTTACAACGGCCAATGAAATTCAGCAACCCCTATCACCTTGTATTTCCTCATGGTCCTACTAATCACTAAAATGAAGTTGTCAAAAGTCCCTCATATTCCTTCAGCGAGTTACCACACCATAGGTGAAATTTGGGTGAACAAGTAGGCGTCGAGAAGAGGCGTCGGAAGGAGAATTTTGGGGGCGTTTAATGTGAGCGCAACGACGGAAGGAATGAGTCTGCGTATTCTGCTCACCGCTGCCATTGTGGTCATCGAGCCGTTTGCGCAGTTTCCCGTAGATCCGATACTCGAAGGCCCTCAGCTTCTGCTCCAGCCGAGTCAGCGACCTCTCCAGGATCGGCTTCACGGTCTGTCGCACGCACTGCTCTTGGCGGCGCTGGAGCCTTGTCTCCAGCTGCTGCCTCATTGCTTCCCGCATTTCGTGCACCACGTCCCCGAGCGCACCACGTAACTGCTTAGGTGGCGATGCGCGATGCTCAGCGTCCCTCCGCTCCTGGGACGCCTCCAAATTGCGTAACAGCGCCGCCAGGCGCAGCACGGCTTCGCGAACACCACGTTCACTTGCCAACTGCAACCACACACATTGCAGCTACCAAAAAACTACAAGGATTTTAGTTTATACAGTGCACACATACAGCTCAGAATTTTGTTGAAAGCCAAACTGACAAACGTCGGTGATTTTACATTTGACATAAAAAAGTGAGTGAAAATAATCGCGTTCTAAATTTACATTCATAATTTGTTTCAGAAATTACGTAGATGAGAGTAAACATTGCAAATGATATCGTCAGTATTGTCACTATCTTATACTCAAAAAGCAGGTTTTTCATTCCTCAAATCCGCTGCTTGTAAAAAGTATAAGGTTGCCCGACGTGTGAAGTGTCGCATTGTTATAATACTTCATCAATCGGCATCTGTTTGAATTTTGAAACAAATGCGACACGTAGTTAATTGTTGGCAACCCGCTGAATGCGTGTTTGACATGCGGCGTAGAGGATGGAGAAAAACGAGATTCGTGCTGTGATTAAACATTTTTATTTGAAGGCAGCATAGCAGATCAAAAATGAATTAGATGAAGTGCATGTAAACTCAGCACCAGCACTGAAGACAACAGGGCCCTATAACTCCCATATAACGTGGTGGGGGCCATTACAGTGGCGCGCTCTAGAGCAACACCTCCTTACACGAACTAAAATACGAATTGCTACCAAAGTTATTTAAAACGTACCTGGGTTCTCGGAACGCAAACACACGCGCTTGATACAAAAGATCGCGCCGCTGTTCGCGCTAACTTTTCTTTAATGCGTGTGCTATTATGAATAAATGAATTTTAGACGATAAACACATAGTATTTAACTTCTTTTCTAATTTATTTCAGAAACCGCCCTTAGTCAAAGTGTATTCGTATTTCTTGACCAATTTTTATGTGCGAAAGTTAGCGAGCCTTATCAGCAGTTGTATCCGGCGACACCAGCGCCCAATTTTGATGGAGAGTTGCCGGGCCCTGGAAGACAATTTAACTCTGGATTACTGAGGTTAAACGTGGTCGCAGAAGCACAGAAGAAGTGCGCTGTGGCCGGCCAGTTGAGGTCAACACACCGAAAACCGTGGAAAATGGTGCACGATCTGGTAATCGAAGATCGCAGCATGAAAGGGCGTGAGATTACTGATGCTGTTGGCATCTCAACAGAAAGAGTGCACTTCATCTTGCGCGAAATACTGAGCATGAAAAGGATTTGCCCGAGATGGGTGCTGCGATTGCTCACTTTGGATCAAAAACTGTCTCGAAAGAACATTTCAAAACGGAAATCTGACAATGTTAAGGCAAAATCAGTAGGACTTTTGACGCAGATTCGTCACCGTAGATGATGCAGCACTATACTCCCGAAACCAAATGAGATTCAAAACAGTGGATAAAGACTGGTGTGAGTGCACCGAAGAAGGCGAAGACAGTTTGTGCGGCAGGAAAGGTGATTGGGATTATAAGGGAGTAATCCTCATAGATTTTTTGTAAAAGAGTAGCACCATAACTGGGTGCTATTACGCTTCATTATTGGATAGTTTAAAATATAAATTGTTCAAAAAACGGCCAAGGTTGTCGCACAAGAAAGTGTTTCCATCAAGGAAATGCTCCATCTCACACAGCAACAGTCACAATGGCAAGAGTGCATCATTAAGGATTCGAACTGGTTCCTCATCCACCATCTTCATCGGATTTAACCCCGAGTAATTTCTTTCTCTTCACCAATTTGAAAATCTGACTTAATGTGCAAAACTGTTCGTCAAATGAAATGATTGCAGCTGTAAAGGGTGGTTTCGCAGAATTCCTATTTTTCCGATGGGATGAAATAATTGGAAACACACTGGGCAAAAAGAAGACTACCTTGAAAAGAAGGGTAAGTTTCTTTAATTTTTTTCCATTTTTATAAAACTTTACAAACAGCTCTCGTATTACACTCAAACGCCTATCGTCTTTAATTAGATTAATATTTGTATTCGATTCATCTAATCGTGCTGGCATACAGAGCTTACAGTGGGTGGTATGAATAAAAGTAAGCAATTACTCTTCGCTCGAAGTTTAGGAGATCCTTCTCAGTTTTGAATAAATAAAGTGGAGCCTCTGAGCACTTGCTCCATCTCTGAGTGTACTCTCAACTGGCGAGCAAATGCTCAGAATTGGTATGAATAAAGTTAATTGTTTACTCTCTAGAGTGAGAACTTGCTCCAAACTTTCGGAGGGACTTTGTAGCAGACTCACGTTTGAAAGTAAGGTTAAATTGGCCGATTTTTTACCTGTGTTGATATGCATATGCAGCGGACTAAAAAAAATCAAGATAAGGCGAAATTCTCGTAATGTTGACTATTGGAATCTTTGTTCCATTTCGATCACGGAGTACCTCCGGAAGCTGGCTCTTTTCAAAAATAATTTTATATTCGCTTAGCATTTCGGCAAAAACTAGCTGGGACTCTAGAGCCTGTTTATCGTTACTGCATTGCTCTTTATTCCGCACAAATGTGCGCGATGCGCGTAACGTATGTAACCTCTTTGTTACTCAAAAAAACAATTTTTATAACTCTTAGCCTGCATTATCACTCGTTCACAACGAGCAAATGCTCGGGAGACATAAGTTCTTCGGAGACATACGAAGTTTTTATTCATACGAAATGGAGCTTCTGCTCAGTGCCGCGGAGTAGACTCACTTTGCTTCGGAGCAAGTACTCCTGAGCAAGTGCTCATTTTTATTCATAGGACCCAGTATCGTGTCATTTTATGTATACTGTTCTAACATCATTTTATACTCATTTATACTCTAGTCTTATACTCGTTGCTATTCGTGGTTTATACATCAAGCTGTTGATTACTATTCCTGACACATGATAACGGATGTGAATCATAATGAGTATCAATAGTGTTTATCAGTGTTCAAATTTGGTAAGTTTTATAAGCGTAAATACAATCTACATTAATTGGAACAATTTTCTAACTAGAAACGAAAATTCTCGTTTGAATAATATTTTATCTAATGTGATTACCTCTTGCAAGAATCCTTTAAGAAATATATTGTCTGATAAATTGTGTTATTTTTTTTATAAATTCTATTTTGAGTTGTATTAGTTTAGATTATTTTTATTTTACAAATTGTGAAGATTTAATGACAAAAATGTTCCCAACATATTACGACCAATAATTCAAATGAAGGAGTTCAATCGTAAATACCTAGGCGACACAAATAACGGAATTACAACAGTAACCAAGAAGAAAGCAGCATAGCATTAAAGAGTTTACTCTGTCACGCTATAATTGCAATGAATTTGAATGCTCTCCAAAGAAGCAAAACTGAAATTCTACGAAACACGCCACCCCATACGTGAATTCTAAAAAGAGGACAAAAACGTTGCAGAGAAGAATATATGCCAAGAAAATATCAGCCACGAACAATGTATAAAAGGATATGAGAAACATTCAAATAATTAAGGCTAAAAAACTTTAAACGAATATTATTCAGAGGAACAAACAGTTCACAAAACCATCTAAATTATCCTCAAAAAAAAACAGATATATAAAGTATAAATATCAGAGTCGGTGTTGTTTCAATAGTTTTGGTGTTGTTTGCATGCACAAAGATAGTTCTAATGCCTTTCAAAAATTACTAAATTTCGAGGCAAAGCATCCTCCATGCAAGATTATTTCAGACGTATTAGAAACGGTTTGACAATTTGAACCGAGGAAGCGTTATTACCTGGAAATCCCGCGGTGGTAAGGGTGGCGCGGAGACCTCGTGTGGAGCAGGAAGCAAAGGGGATGATGGAGTCGGCGAGGGCGGGGAGGTCGGAGTGGCCGGAGAGGTCGGAGTGGTCGGAGTGGCCGAAGAGGTCGGAGTGGCCGGAGAGGTCGGCGTGGCCGGAGAGGTCGGCGTGGCCGGAAAGG